TGCTAAGAAGAACATTTTCCAGCTCCATCCATGTGAACATGAAGGACGTAAAGTCTCCATCTTTCTTTATGGCTGCATAGTATTCCATGGTGTACAGGAATGGCACTTCTATTTAAAATTGTTTTTTAACTACTCCCCACAGCCTACAGCCAATCAAAAACTTGTAAGTTAAATATGCCAAAGTAAAGATTTCCAGAATCAACAGAGATCAATAAATATGTATCAGGTGCCTTGTACAGGCCAGGCAGTGGGGAAAGTACAAAGGAGCAAAACATGGAAAGTCGTTTTCTCTACACATGGCTTATAATGTCATTAGAAATATGACCAAAACTACTAATTTTTTTTTTTGAGACAGAGTCTTGCTCTGTCATCTCAGGTTGAATGCAGTGGCAACATGATAGCTCACAGCAACCTCAAACTCCTGGGCTCCAGCATCAGCCTCACATGTAGCTGGGATTACAGATGACAGCACCATGACTGGCTAATTTTTCTATCTTAGCAGAGATGGAGTCTCACTCTTGCTCAGGCTGGTGTCCAACTCCTGAGCTCAAGCAATCCCCCCATAAGGCCTCCAGGAGTGTTAAGATTATAGGCATGAACTATGGCGCCTGGCCCCCAAACTAATAATACTTAAAGGCCAAAAAAAAATCATGAGATCATATACAAAATAAATACTACAGGAGTTCAAAGTAGGGTGAGGTTGTATCTGATGCTATCAGGGAAAGAGGAGCTTTGCACAAGCTGAAAAAAAATGCATGAATGATGGAGAAGATTCTTCCGAGACAGAATAGTTTCTTAAAAGAGAAATCTAGAAACCCTACCTGCAAAATCTCTCTCTTGGTATACTTTCCCATAAGAATTAAAGGAGATTTTAAAGAAAAAACATGACCTCTATTCAAAAAACACAAAAAATTTCTAGGATTCTGAATTTGGGCTAATAGCTAACTCCACTGCAGTTCATTCCTTAGTTGTCTCTGCAATGAGTGAAGGTGACTTACATTCCGGGTTTCTTTAGTCATCCCTAGTCTGTGTCCCTGGAAGCAAGGAGGATTGTGCCACTGAGACAGTTTTCACCTATAACTGAACCACATGAGCTAGTTCCAACTGAATTGACTTGGGACCATTGTACCTAGTGTATACCCAATGGCGGAGCCTGCCAGAACCATCATCTTCTTTAGTGCCACATTATGAATTAGGAATGGGAAGTATCTTCATACGCATGAACCCAATTTCCAATACACTTTCACATCTGGCAGTCTTCTCTTCTGTACACACACTCACCAAAAGATGAGTAAAAGAATGTTCACAACAGCACTGTCCATATTAGTCCCAAACTGGAAACTATCTGCTATCTATCGAGAGTTAGCAGAAAAATAAACTGTGCTATATGCTTATCAAAGAATATGACAGAACTGAGGATAGATTTGACACGTATAATGTTGATTGCAAGAAACCACATACAAAAGAGAAAATACTGTACAGTTTTGTGCATACAAAGTTAAAAAAACAAAAATAAGTGAAACTAACCTATGGCATCAGAAGTCAGAATAGTGGTTATCCTGCGGTGGGGGGAGTCAGGGACTAAAAGAGGGACTTCCAGGGTCCTCACATGTCTGCTTTTAAGTCTTTGGAGCACTTACTTGGTGAAAAGTCATCAGACCATACACTTATGATAAGCGTATGATATGAGTGCTTTATTTCAATGAAAAGTTTACCTTAACAAAAAACTGAAAACTATCTCTTGCATTAAAGGAATATAGTAGGATGAGTGAAAATGACTTTACAGTTGAAGACCAACATGTACATTCACATTCATAATTTTGATTTAAATTTATTTTACACAGTGAATTGGTTTTAATGTATTTAGTCAATAGGATATGTATATGTAGATGGAGGATAATATATATTCATAGTAACATCACAATATTAAAGAAAGGTAACGCTAAAATTGAGGATGTCTGCTTTGCATATTATAGATCAAAGATGATTTTTTAATGCACTTCGTCGGTTCTGGCAGAGGAAGAAGAGGAGAAGGGGGAGGGAAGAGATTGAGAGGGAGGAGGAGGAGAGAAGGCTCCTCAAAACCTCTGGGGAAAAAAATAGTGCCACCAGAACACGTTCCAGTACTACACAATTTATTTGTTTAAAAATTGTTACAAGCCTAGGGGCAGGAACTAGATGTCCCCAGCAACTCCCACCCTGTAAACCACAGCCTGGCTAAGGATATAGACCAAGCCATAGACAGTTCTGGCTAAGAACTGCAACCCCAACAAGGAATCATCTGACCACGGATATGCGCTAACCCAGTCTGCTAATAGCAAACTGTAGAATTTCCTCCTCATCGATAATTGTAGCATACATCTCTGAAAGTTAACAAGAAGCAGAGAGCAAAGCCCTCTTTCCAGCCCTCCCAGATCCACTCTCAGAGTGAACGTCCATCCACCTAGCATTTGAAGGTCAGGGTTTCCTGATGACTGTGAAAATGGGGAGGTATGAAGGGGTCATCAAGGGAAGCTGCCTTCTTAGACCAGGTGCAAGTTGAAGCTCCCAGGCCACAGCCTTGCCTCGGCTCCCCAGCACAGAGCGCCAGCCTAACGGTACAGTTAGCACCTGCTGGTCCCCGGGGCCCTTCTCAGGGACTGCGGCATACAACCTTGACAAAGATGCTGAAGACAGCCTGGGCCCGGAAACGTAGCTTGAGAAAGGCCAGGCGGACTCAGGCAATACCCTCGGTAAACTGTCACCTGTCAATCACTTGACCTAAATACACCAGCCACTGGGGGCTGGGAGGAGGGGGTTAGCCGGAGCATGCTCAGTGATCGGGATGACATCACTTAATCAATGCTGGGGACGGGAAAGCTGCATCAGCAGCCTCGAGCGGACTGCCAGGAACGTGTCAGCAGGGACCGGGAGGCTCCCTTTAACTCGGCCGCTCCCCTCACGGCTCGCATACAAAGAGGGCACCGTCAGCCACACACACTAGGGACAGCGGGCGGGCAAGGGACGGGGCGGGGGAGAGCAGGGCTGGTTTACTTCATTTGACATATTCCTTTAAGAACTAAAAAACAATGATATTCCCTCTCCCCACCAGCAGCCCGGACTGCAGGGAGGGAACTAAGTGCGAGGAGGAGGAGGTGGGGGAGAAAAGGTGGAGAAGGGAGATCAGGAGGGAGGGGGCCCGAGCAACACAAAGTAACTTCTGCTCCTGGCATGGGAGCGAGCTTTTGGCAGCGCTCTGGGCCCCCTATTCCTGCAGATGTGAACACAACCTCCTCGCCACCCAGTGCGAAGCATATCAACCGATCCGCAGACACCAGGTGGGGGAGAGTGTCTGGGGACGCGGGACAAACCAGGCTTCCACAGCCTGGACAGCCAGGGGGAGACCGAGGAGACGCACTAGGCTTCCCGGAGACACCAAGGCCACCAGTGCTCCCCTCACCCTCCGCCATCCGCACGCGGAGCAAGGTGAAACACCGCGGGGATCCGCGTCTACACAGCCGCCAGAGCTCCCAGCTGAGGCTATAATTTTTCCTCTACATTTTTTTCTTGTTTTTACTAAGGTCACGAGAAGAAGAGGCAAAGTGTTCAGTAAATCAAAATGATGTCTAGAAGCTTTTGTGGGTTGCAGAGCTCATACTTTAAAGGGGTCCGGGGCACCCTAGCTGAGGGTACCCGAACACACCACCCACACGGCGTGGCGAGTGTGGGGAACAAAAGGCCCACCCGGGCCCCCACCTCGCGAACAATGGCGGCGCCAAGCCCTTGCTCACCCCCCACCCCCAACCCCGCCACCAGGGCCCGCCCCGCTGTCCCCGGTCGCCCCTCTACTCGCCCAGAGGGAACTATAGGGCGGGGGCTGAGGGGGTTCTCTGGTCACGTCCACCCGGAAGGCAGCCCCGCAGGGATGTCCGAAGGGGCGGCCCCAACATCTCCGCGGCGTCCGGGGCGTCGGGGCGCCGGGCTGCAGCGCGAAGCAGGAGAGGAGGCCAGATGTCCTGGCTACTTACCCCGATCACCACGGTCTCATCGCCTTTAAATTTGGGGATAAATTTGTCCCCGCGGAGGATCTCGGCTTCGTTGAGGGGCCGGAACCGGCACATCACTTTGATGCTGCATTCAGCTGGATCCGCCATCTCGGCCGGCGGCAGGGAGGGGGCGCGGGATGGGTGGGGGGCCGGGGCTGGGCACCAAGAGGGAGGAGGCCGCTAGCCGCACCGCCCACAGCTAGGCCGCCTCCGGCAGCCTCCCACGACGCCTCTCAGCAGGTCATCGCGAACTCCGCGGGCTGGCCACCCCAGCCGCTCAGAGACCGGGAAGGCGGACAGCCTATCGGCCTCCGGCCCCGCCGGCTGCGGACCTGCCTGCCCTGGGCCTCACCCAGCTACCCCGGCCCACCTGCCCGCAACCACGCGGCCGGCGGACAAGGCGATGCGCAGGGAGCGAGCCTCGCCCGGCTCAGACCTCCCGGGCTCCTGCACGCTCAGCCATCCTGCATCAGCACCAGCGCTCTCCGCCGCCTCCCCGGCCCGCCCCGCCGCCCCGCCCTCCCCGAGGCCCCGCCCCGGGGCCGTGACATCACTGCGGAGAAGCGCCCCACCCTCCTCAGGGTCCGAGTGCGGTGCATCCCGGGACTTGTAGTCGCTCCACCTGCCGGTGGAAGGTCAAGAGTACTTCGGTCGAAGTTAGCTTTCAGGGACAACAGTGGTCCCCCGAGGACGACTTCCAAGAGCCTGCAAGTCCGGTCTGGCCGCCAAAGCCAAGACCAGGGTAGAGGTCATACCCAGCATTCCCTGTTAAAATCTCTGTAAGTAACCAGATCTGTATCACCCCTTTACATCTTTTCCTGATCCCAAAGGAAAATCACTTGGGAAACCCAACTGCCAACAGTTCTTAGAAGGATGAAACCTTCCTCCTGGATAAGGATAGATGTTTGTTCAGAGTTTCGTTCTGATTGTCAGAAAGTAGGTTAGTGTCTACCCTACACCAATAAACAAGAGTCAGGGACTTGGTAAGACCATGGGAATCCCTTAGTGGGAAGATTCCCAAATGAAGAAGGATGCTATTCCCGGAAGGACACGGTGCTGGGCTAGCAGAACAATGGGTATCTAATCTATCCCTTCAGCATTATCTTTTCCTCTAGGACTCAGTTCAACCCTCCTTCCTCAGGAAGACTTCCCTGACTCACTTAAGATTGGTGGCCCTCCTTGGTGTTCCACTGATCTCCTTTGCCTATGTCTATCACCACACTTGGGCAATGACATCTGCCTGACCTTTGTGTCTCCAACACCTAGTACATGCACAGTAGGAGCATACTGAACAAAGGAATCCACCCTAGGAGGAAGCTCTACTTGGGGGTGCAGCTGAGTTCTGCCACTTACTAGATGTATGACCATGGCAGGTATTTATTTTTCATAAGATTTAGTATCTTCATCTCTGTCATTGGAATAATATTGTCATCTCAGAGTTTTTGAGAGAAATAAAAGATATAATACTTTTTAGCCAGGTGTTGTTAAGGGCACCTGTTGTCTATATACTGAGGCTGAGGCAAGAGGAGGGATTTTTTTTCTTTGTTGCGGGGGTTGTTTTTTGTTGTTGTTGTTTGTTTGTTTGTTTTGTTTTAATTTTTGAGACAAGTCTCATTCTTGCCCTGGGTAGAGTACCATGGCATCATAGTTCACAGCAACCTCAAACTCCTTGGCACAAACAATCCTCTTGCCTCAGCCTCCCAGTTAGCTAGGACTACAGGTGCCCTCCAAAAAGCCTGGCTAATTTTTCTATTTTTAGTAGAGACGTGGCTCTCACTCTTGCTCAGGCTGCTCTGGAACTCCTAGGATTACAGGCGTGAACCATCTGGCCCAGCCCACAAGAAAGCTCTTGAGCTCAAGATTTTGAGTTTGCTGTGAGCTATGAGGACGCCACAGCATTCTACAAGGACAACCTAGTGAGACTCTGTCTCAAAAAAAATAAAAAATTTTAGCACTCTGGGATGCTGAGGCAGGTGAATTGCCTGAGCTCAGAAGTTCAAAACCAGCCTGAGCAAGAGCAAAATCTCCATCTTTACTAAAAATAGAAAAAAAGAAAGAAAAAAAAAAAACTAGCCAGGCATCATGGCATGTGCCTGTAATCCCACCTACTCAGGAGGCTGAGGCAGGAGGATTGCTTGAGACCAAGAGTTTGAGGTTGCTGTGAGCTACCATGACACCATGGCATTCTACCCAGAGCAACAGAGAGAGCCTCTGTCTCAAAAATAAATAAACAAATAGATAAATAAATAATACTTTTAAAGCACCTAGCATGGTGCCTGACATGTATATATAGCATAAGCTCTTGAGAGTTATATATTATTGTTAGGTACTGAACAAGGATAGTAAAAATTTATGCGTTATTTAGCTAACTTTAGGAACACATCCATTGCTTAAATTCAGGTAAACCTGAGAATACAAGTTCTTTGCCTAGGTGAGAAGAAAAGCCTACTAAAATCAATTTTTATGAACCATTATAAGCAGTATCAATTTGATTTCCTCTTCTCAGATGTGGTGAAAGTGGGTTAAAGAAGTTCTAAGTGCTGCTTTCTCATCTGTTTTTACATTAAGTTGTTCTCAGGCTCTTGCAGAGACCTGCCATCTTTAGTGGTCAACTTCATAATAAACTGGAGAGGACAGTCCAATCGCCAGGTTCCTTG